AAATAAAAATTCGTCAAAGGTCGATCGGAACTTTGAAACCCACTATTGTGGCTAAACGTCGAAGTGAAAAGACGACTACGTGTTTAGCAAAAACTCTAACTCGAACGGATTTGGTCAATTTGAAAACTGTGAGCATGAATCGATTGCTCACAATTAGGGTGTTACTTTTTATATTTTTTAAAGCTTCATGTAGAGCTGATAATATGGATAAGCCCCCCCCCTCCCCCCCTCCTTCGATATAGGCGAATAAGTGTGGCCAACCATATAGGCGATTGTACCAGCGTCCCGTCAAGTGCGGCGACAGCTCGATCAAAGCCTTCTATCCGTTTCAATATTTTTGTAATTGGAATCTAAATTTCACTTGTTCTTGGAAAGCAAACGAAAACTTTGCGGTCATCGTACAGAACGCTGCATATTAAGAGAAAGCCCGTGAAGCTGCTGCCACCAAGTACCCAGCCACGTCAAACAGAGACCCTCACTAGCCAATTTACTGCAGTGTCAATGCTAACTTTTTTTAGTGAAATGCGTGCTCTTGCTATTTTTAGAGCGATGATCGTCGTAGCGAGGCCACATCTGGCGTAAATAGGCAGCCAACGAGTCAAAACACGAGCGAGATAATCGAGCTAATTTATTAAATGCTTCAATAAACGCCTTGTAGTTCTCGTTGAAAAAGTTGGTGTGGGCTGTGATTATTAGCGGTAGAAATGAACAAAAGATGGTTAGCGAAGAATACTGGGTCCTGTTGGTCTTATTGTTATCATTAGTGACTGCTGCGATTGGGCAGGAGCTTGGCGGGAGCACAAATCCTGCAGCAACTATTTCAGCCAAAGCATCAAGGCGTCTGATGAAGCTTTTCATAAATCATTTCGAATATCTCGTTCGCGTTTTAATTCGTTGGCTGCCTATTTGGGCTAGATGTGGCCTCACTGCGACGGACATCACTCTGAAAACAACAAAAGCACGGTTTTCTTTAAATTGAATTTAGAATTGGCGTATATTGGCTAGCGAGGGTCTCTGTTTGACGTGGCTGGGTAATTTGGTGGTGGCAGCTTCACGGGCTTCTTTGTGATGGCATGTACTTAATATGCCGCGTTCTGTATGATGACCGCGAAATTTTCGTTCGCTTTCCAAGAACAAGTGCGATTCAGATTTGAGATACAAAATGATTGAAACGGATAGCAGGCTTTGATTGAGCTGTCGCCGCATTTGGCGGGACGCTGATAGGGCGATCTCGGCCGACAAACTTCTGAGGATAATATTGAAGAAAGCTACAATATGCAAGCTATCATGAGCAGCAGAGAGCCCTTCACGACGTTTCGATCAGGCCTGATAGCCACACCCTTTCGGTCTTTCAGTAGGATTGGCGCGAACGTTGGGATGTGATACCCTTAAATCACATTTTGTTTCCTAGTAATGGAGGATTAACTAGTATTTACTCATGCCTTTAAGGCGTGGTATTCGAACGTCTTCTGACATAAAAAAATACGACCTAGCTCATCCCAACATCCGTGTTCCTGTGGAAGCTCTAAAAGACAGATTTTAAATACTGCGCTGAGGATTTGAGAGCCACCCCAAACAAGTTGACGGTACAATAATTGGAGCTACAAAAATACCGCAGTTTGCACGGTAGAAATGCGCTAGACGTGATGGACACTGCTGTTGTATAGATGAGGATAATAATTTCATTAGAATGTAAAATGGTGGACCATGCAAACGACATGAAGCTAATTATTTTTCCTACTCTAGCACAAGAGAATTGCGATTAGGAGAGACGAAACGAGCATTTTATTTTCGCGCTAATTAATAAAAGCCACCAAAGCTAGCTCACTAATAATTGCGCTACTTTGTCGTTAGCTGAAGAAATCAGAACGTGGCGATGACATATCGACTTGCACAGCTGACAGTCTCAGCTCAGACGCGTTAATTCTTGGATGAGCATAGTCACATATGTGAGACATGTTTGTGCCTAACTTTGTTGCTTGATCCATGAGCTCGCTGTTTTTTTCGGTGGTGGTGCACCTGCCACCGATGCCCCCCCCGCAGTGCTTCACCAGCACCCTTCGGTGCCGTAAGATGGAAGCCACCCGCGGAGAAGCATCGTAATCTCGCAGACGCGGCCTCGCGATCTACCAGAGCCTTCCAATATACAGCTCACTTCGGGACGTTACGATTTCCTGTTGCCGTAAATAATTCCAGCGTACGATCCTAAACAATGTAGTAATAAACACGTAAAAGCCTCATCTTGTGAGCAGATTATTATATGCGATGTACCTTATATATTGTTTGGCAAGTGTTACGAGTCGATCGCGGCCCAGTCTTTCTTCATGCGTCTTCAGCAGTTTTTGGCAGCAATATCCCAGTTGTCATCTTCATCCTTCTTTTCTGGTGTATTAAAGGGGTTAGCCCCTTAGTTACCGGAAGAAAGGCAGGGGTTATACTTTGACCCCTTACTTTGGAGGTAGAACATTATAACATATAGGAATTTGTATTGAGAGAATTTGTTGCACAACTATACTTAGTGGATACTTCAAGAACGCGAAGGATACTGCTGGGCAGAAAAAATAGCTTCAACATGATTTGCCTTACATTTGCGGTAACGAAGCCTTACCAATTGCTTATGATGAGAAAGTCAACATAGGCACTGCTCTTTTATCCTGGATGGTAATTTCTTACTTGCTGCACACGTGTAGCAACGTAGGCTTTAGTGATTTTGAGCGCTAAAAGGGCAAGGAAAATTACGCGTCGATTGATTGCTATCTAAATCTGGCTACAAAAGACCTTCCTGCATACATCTGCGCCATTGTACGTCGGCGCCGCCATCATCTTCGCCGCCGCGTTCACCACAAGGAGACCGGTGGTGCTTCTTTCCTGGGTGTGAGGCTGCTAGACGGTCGTTCGTATCATGCGCCAGGTTGTTTGGGGAGTCGTTGCCATTGTTCCAATCCTTGTGCCAAATACGAAAGCACGTCTTAGAGCGGTCGCCCCGTGCTACATTGCACAGGTATTTCCTAGAAATATAACCGCTGTTAGAGCATGCGTTAGCGTTATCGACCCAACTGGTACGTACCGTTGATTTCCAGTAGAACATTGTACTTCCGCGATTAAGCTTGTAAATCGCGCACACTTTGTAGGATCGGTGGCGGTGTTTGTGACCTTGCTCGCTGTCCACGGTTTCAACAGTTTCTTCGAGGTGATGGCCGCACTTGACTTCCACCTACTGAGGTTGTGTAATCTCCCCGGTGCTGCTATCCTTGAATACCGGGGTCCGAATTCTTTTTGGCCCCGCAATAGAATTTGATAGAATGAAATTGCGGATTAAAATCTATGTTAGCTTATGGTGATAACATTGCTAGCAGAGTCTCGCTTATGTTGAGCCAGAGCCAACATAAGCACGTTGCAAAACGGCAGCTGGTCCAAGGCCAGCTACCGCCTTTCATGAAAAAAATCAAGCGGTACGTGTCATTCGCGCATGCCGCCATAAACACATTCGCTCCCATCTTGTTGGACTAGTCCTTGTTGAACTGTCTTGTCAGATTGTACCGCGATCGGGAAGGGAGAGTAGCATAGTTAAAGCTTATCGTGGGTGGCGCGCGGGACCCACGTGCGAATGTACGCTGCAGTACATCGACAGCTGCGCAATTTCCCAGGCGCGATCAGGGCTGGTTTGAGGAGATTTCGTATTGGAGAAATGTAGATATCCCAAATGTAAAAAGCAGTCTGTTTTGGCCATGTACAAGCTGAATTTATGGGTTGAAGTGCCCCAACGGGTATCGTAGACCAATGTGCCGCTCTGCCCTTGCGTATCGGTATCAGCATCCGCGCAATTAGAGTCCCACCACACACAGCACCTCCCGTGGCTCGATTTCGCGCACATTCGCCAATCGACTACGTATATCACTCACTTCTTCAACCTTGTCGCCGTTAAGCCTCTTCTTCGCCCTTTGTCTTCGCGCGACGGGTGCGGCGCTCCCGCCGAAGTGCATTGACGTACAGCTTCTTCTGGGCTTGCGCAAGCGTTACGTGGGGTCTCCTCGGCTGATGCGACCGTTCTGGTGCATTTTTGTTGTAATGAGAGGTTTGAGCGCAGTGTTTGCCCGATCGTTAATGGGTGAAGCTGCCGCTTTCTTTTATTTGGAGTTGGTGTACCAGCCCTACACCTGTGCATTTGTCCTAATTCACTTACACTTTTCTTTTGATCTTAGACACATATTGAGTATAAACCCTTATGTGATGCATCTAACATAACATAAATACTGCGAAGAAAATGAATTTGAATACACACTATTCATCCTGGTAGTGCTACGGTCACGAAGTACGGACAGACCACCAGAAATTAATTTGTGGCGTCTTTCAAGTGTGTTTCTTAATTGCAAGTGTGTTTCTTAATTGCAAGCTTCAAATGAATGACCTTATAAAATCGTCATTTCAAATCGATTGGGATATCACCTCACGCAGGTAAAATCAATGGATTTTTAAAATCTAGCAGGAATACCAACAGCTGGCTTCGTGCCGTAAAAATCGGCTCCAGTGCGACATCAATTTTTTGGTTAAAGTTATAGGAACCAAGGGGCTAAAGCAATCCACGCTAGTATGCACACATTATACACAACAGGTATAATACTAACCACGATAAGAAACAAGTATGAGCAAGCTACTTGTTTTCGAATTTTAGATCGCACAGCTTGATTGTCTAGAAATGTACACCAATTATAAGAAAATACATTTTTTGCTGCAGACGCAGAATACTAGATTCTTCCCTGTTTTAGCCAATAATGTGTTTCTATTTAAACTGTAAAGTTTATGATATTAAATATTTTATGACACATTTAATTAAAATATAAAGGTTTTATGATTTGGACTTGAATAAAATAAAGAACAGTCACAGCTAGAATCTGTAGAGTATGAGCTTTCGATTGGTGTATTTTAATACTAGGGTAAAAAAAGGCGTCCTCGATGCTGTCGATCACTGTAAATAGATTTTTTTAAACTTTTTTATTGGGCTACGTTTTTTGTTGCACTTTGTTCAGGCTACAATGGTACTGTTCGTGGTCAGCACGGTCCTTTTCTCGGAGCTCCTCACCACAGCCATACCCACAATCAACAAAACGCATGGTGCATGAACGCTGATGTTCTTTTACTGTGTTGCAGATAAACACTTCGCCACAGCCAAGCGAACACCAAATCGGTCGATATGCACATTCCCACATTTCGTGACGCTCCTTTTCATGAGCCACTAGCGTTTTCACCGAACATTGGTACTTGCATGTCACCTGACGCATTTTACATTCCTCTTTTCGGTGATGAGCCATTTGTAAGTGCGATAGATTCGTCTGTCCGCACAAACCGCACACTGCCAGTCGATGTGGACACTGTTTTTGGTGAGTCATTCGGTCTTCCTCTTTCAACGATTGGTGACAGTGTCCACACGTGATCGTACGCTTGCGGCAGTCTTGAGATATGTGAGTATCAATTGTATGTAGCGGAGTTCGACGACCGCAGCCTAAGGAACACTGTACCAATCTCCGAGAGCATTTTACGGATATATGTTCATCCAACTCCCGTACAGGAACATTATTGTAGCCACAGCGATTCGGACAGCTTTGTTGACGCAGTTCACATTCCTCACGCTCGTGAAGAGCTTGAGCGTTCGCAAGTACAGTCTCGTTGCAGCCCCATGCACACTCAACACGTCGAAGCAGACAGACTTCCGTTTCGTGCCGAACACGGTCCTTCAATAGTAAATCATTGATGGCGCAACCATTTCGACAGCGCACCTGGCGGTGAGAACAGTTTCCATTCACATGGATCCTCACATCTTGCCACCGAAGTTGAAACTCTTGAGACTGCGCGTCATTCGGTTTTAAGCATTGCAACGGACATGGAACGAGACGCATCGGACATTGTGTCTTTGCGTGCAATACGTGACGCTGGTAGCTCATAGCTTCACCACATTCGCAAACGATAACACGATATTCGCACTCGTCTTGAAGGTGTTTTCCACGATCTTTAAAGAGAAATCGGACAGTGCATTTCTGGTTAGAACAATTGACAAGTCGAAGCTCGCAAGTATGTTGACTATGATCTTTCACATCTTCAGCCCATAACTCTGTGATATCGCAGCCATTTGGACAGGTCACGAGGCGTTTGAGGCAGCGATGCAGCTCATGTTCTTGTAAAGGGTTAATGTTCTTGACAATTCGAGCTTTCTGGACAAGGTGGTCCTCGAACAGAGTCATGAAGCCGCACCCCCACTTACAAACTCCATACAACCCGGATATGGTATTCACTACACGGTCGTGTTTGCCACCCATTGCTGCCTCTAAAAGACCAGCGATCGCAGTGAAGCCACTAGTGCGAGCATAATCGGAGGCTGTCTTTCCACTGCTATCTCGCAGAAACACATCAACTCCTTTGCTAGCCAGCAAGTAGCGTACGAACTCTACTTTCCCATTCGTTGCGGCGATCATGAGTGCTGTGTGTCCGTTTAACCGCGCAGCAAAATTTACGCGTGCGCCACGCTCGATCAACGCTTGAGCGCACTTTAATGTACCGAAGAATGCTGCTGTTCCCAACGCTGTGAGTCCACGAGAGCTCTCCAAATCCACAAGTGGACGGTTCATCGTGCGGTCTAATAAATATTCAGCCGCTAGCACATCCTTTCCATCCTCGTTCTCAACGTAAACTTCTTCAACACAAGCAGCCATGAGAGCAGACATGGCTCCACCACTCGTCTCATAGTCTGCGAATGCCCCGTCATCCAGCAAACGCGAGATGGCAACGAAATCACGAGAAATGATGGCTGTCTCGAGCGCCGCATGCTTTTCCTTGAGCTCGGTAGTTTTCCGGATGACGTTTCTTCTGCTCATCAGTTGCTTCTGCTTTTCCTGACGTAAATTTGCCATTGTCTCCAACGAGCTATTCACAAATTCAGCTGTAGTAGAGTAAGCTGTCACGTCGGGTTCCCATCCTCTCGAGGCATCAAACAAACGGCTATCGTAGTATTTCACCGCGCAACTCAGCGTATCTGCCACTGTCATCGGCTTTCCAAAGTCATCATCTTCTTGAGCTTTTTGTGAGTTCTTTTTGTCCATTGCAAGCGGCTGCAGTTTCCACTTACCCTGTCGTTTAGCCATTTCTAGCGACGCCTTCGATATGGGGGCGACACTCTCAAGTAGAGAGCCCGGATAAACTCGCTCTGGCAGCACGTATGTCTTTTGCCATAACTTGGCTCCTTTCGACAGTAAAATCGCTGCAATTTCGGGATTCCCGTTGATAATCGCTTCGTGGATTGCGACTCTATGGGTCTGCCTGAAATGCACCAGCTTGCGTTGGTAGTGCCCGACAATGAACGAATGAGCCACATTCCTCACAAGAGCTTCAGTGGCGGCGTCGGAGCGAGAATTAGTGCCTCCTCTACTCAGTTCTTGGAGACGTCGCTGACGTTCAAACTTTTTTCGGTATTGGAAATCTCGTACAAGTGCTTGAATGAAAGACGCACAGAGGTTCTGCTCCTCGAATTGGTGACCACTGCAGGCGCCATGAGATAGCAACATGTGAATGATGGCTTCGTTTCCCACAGCACACGCAAAAGTCAGCGGCGTGTGGCCACTTAGAGCGGCATAGTTGAGGAGTTTGTACGTGTCTAAACGCTTTTTAGCAGCCTCAACCTCCTTCCTCGCAACGTCATGTTGAGTACGAACAGCTTCGACTTCTTCTTGTCGTGCTGGAAGAGAGCGAACCCCAACTTGTGCCTCAAATCTGGAATGTTGTTGCCTTTCACGAGCCATTGTGAGAGCGACTTCGAGCTGGCGTTTACGTTCCACGAGCGCTTGACGCTCCGCTCGAGTCTTATACTCAAGCTCAACACCTTGAACCCACGTCGCTAACATCCCTATGATGTTGCCGCGTAATGTCTCGATCGGAGGAATTCGACTATTTAAACTACGCTCTCCAGACTCAGTTTTGAAACTCGCACGGTTCGCCTTAAATTCCGCCGAGCAGGCAGCAAACGCCGGTGTTTTCAAGCATTCACGACGGACTTTAGCCATGACTTCGGGAGAAATTGTTTGTTGGCGATACCCACGCAGTTGACGCAGCAGACTACGATCCATGAGCAACGCTTGGGCGGTTTTCCACCACTCGACGTCAGTGTATTCCGTTGCATTCCGTCGTCCGCGAGGCACCACTCCACACAGCAATGAGAGAGCTTTTACTACGACTAACGAAGTGTCGGACGGAACGTGTGAATTGAGTAACTGAGCGATGTCTTGCGCCGTGATTTGACGGATCATAGCAAGCATGTCAGCTTCCAATGCACTAGAGTCGATGTCGGACGCTTCTTCATCTTTCTCAACGTTCTGTAGACGTCGACAGCTATCGTCGACTTGAGAGGATAATTGGATAGCTTGGACGCGTTTGGCCTCTGTTTCAGCAATACTCTCGTTGAATACTTGGATGGCTTCATCTAGTTCTGCACGCACAGTATTTGCTTGTTTCTCTTTCGCAGTTACTAACTCTTGCAGTGTCTCCAATGGATTGACAAAATGTGTATGACTTCGGGTTTTTGCAGAGTATTTGAAATGTTCGATCAAATGGTCGTAGTTCGAGCACGATATTGCAATAAAGAGGTCACGCTGGGCGCGCTCAAGTTCTACTTGGTCTTCCAGCAAGTGAATAATCTCATTCCATTTGGATATTTTATCTGCAGAAGTCTCGGAATCGGCGAATGCGTGAACCATTTCTAAAAGGTTTCTACCTTGTTTGTTGGTGTGCGACACACAAGCTCGATTCTCGATCAGCAACTTAACGATGTCCACATCCTGAGCCATACAAGCTTCAGACAGCGGAGTTCGGCCACGTGACGTCTCCAAGTTGACGTCAGCTCCGAAACGAAATAGAAGCTGAATTAGGTCAATGTTTCCTAACGAGGCCGCAAGTACTAGAGGTGAGAAGCCATTCGCGAACTCTTCATTAACCACGTTGAACGCATCGACATTCTGCAAGAAATACGTCGCAAGATCCAAGTCCTGGGATTTTAGAGCCCAGAGAAGTGCGTTTTCATTGTGGACGACACAACGCACAAGTTTGCTGTCCATGTGCCAGACACGAATCGGACGAGCACATAATTTCCCACCAACGCCACAGGGAACAACACGTTGGCGACAACGTTTCCAGTGATCTTCATAAAGATAGGCAAATACCATTTCCCGACAACCAGTGGGACACATCATGACTCTCAGCGTGCATTTGGCCTCCAAATGTTCCTCCATCTCGCAGTACGGTACATGTAACCCACACTGATTCTCACAGAAGAGCAAGCGCTTGGAGCACTCTTCACTTTCGTGTAGGTCGCTGTCAAGCTCCTTGATGTGCGTTCCACACCCTCTCCGGCAGTTTACTACTCGCTGAGGACATAATAACTCGTGGTGCTCTTGAAGAGTATCAAATTTCAATCGCTGTTTGCAATATTTGCATTTAACAACCCGTTTCGTGCAATTGAAGAGAAGATGATGAGCAATTTCGTTGTAGCGTAAATTTTGTCCGCAGCTATCGTCACATTGTCCATAAATTCGCAGCGGACATTCATCCTTTTCGTGATTTTCAAGTTCGCAGAACCAAATATCTCCTTGACAGATCCTGCATTTTATCCGACGTTTAGGACACTGATTAGCCTCGTGTTCCTTGACATCAGACCACGCCACTTTACGCGAGCAACCAAGTCTACAGCCTCGAGGTCGTTGCTGACACTCCTTGTCAAGATGCGTCTCTAAATTTTCAATCGAAATGGAAAAATGACAATACTCGCAAAATTCAGATCGAAATTCGCAATAACCCGATTCGTGTTCCGAAACAAGTCCAAATGCCATAATTTCTCCACACCCAAGTCGACACACAGTATTGCGCATATTGCAGCGCTTTGCCAGGTGAAATTCAGCAGTATGCGCTGGAAGTCGTTGGCCACAGTCGAGTGGACAAGGCACCAAGCGGTGGCAACAATCTTCATCAATGTGTGCTCCAAGTGTCTGGGCTGGTAGAGGACCACAGCGAAAGTGCTGAAGACGTGATTCCATTGCATCTACAGCGTGAGGAACGACAATGTCATGCTCACGTAGTTCGAGTGACGTCCACTCTGAGTGACCATTTGAAAATTCAAGTAAATGTTGGGATTTAGTTGGGTCGTATGTCAGAATTCGGCACTCTTGAGTAGCATTCTCCGACTTGAGCTCCGTATACTCGAGTTGCAATTTAGCGTACAGACCTTGCATCCAGCTTACGAAGAATTCCACTGTCTCTGCTTTCCTGAACCGCTCGGGCCGATCATTCGAGGTAAATTGTCGTTCCAAGCCGTAGAGTTTGTTTAGAAATGCGTCGTAAACGCTAATGCGTTGTTGCATGGCTTTTAACATTTTTTTCCAGCTTTCTGGAGTATCACTACAGCGTGTATTACTATCGACAAGTCGAACATGCTTGCCACACAAATCCAATGGACAATGCGTTTCCCTCAATGGGCAATCGCCACTGTCCTGTAACACATGAGCCATCATCAACTCTCTCGACAGTTGCAGCACTTCTCCTGTCTGTTTGTCTTGACATTTATTCGGACACGGGATTCTTTCAAGCATACATTGCCAACGGTAATGTTCCTCCGCAAAGCAAGCCAAGAATTGTCCACTCAACTCACATCCGTTCTGACAAGCTACAAAGCGAAATGGACATTCCTGAGTCTCGTGAATGTATCGACCTGCTGCAACTCCAGCTATCTTCTCTTCACAGCCATACGAGGCCCATTTGCACGACAATTCTCTCAGCTCACACAATGTCGATAAGTGAAAATCCATCTCGTCATATTTCACTAATGCACTGCACCCTCCATGCTTCCCTTTACATGGGACCATTCTCTTCGGACACTCATGAAGTCGATGCTTCTTCGCAAAATTTGCAGTGAATTTCGCTTGACACCCTTGGTCACATGTAATTATTCGCAAAGAGCATCGAGCACTTTCGTGCTCATCTAACTCGTCGTGATGTACCGTGGTTCCGCACAGAAGACGACATTTTATCGCCCTCTTTCGACAGTGATAATTGAGATGAAATTCTCTGTCTTGGAAGAGAATTTGCTCGTGACAGCCAAACTGGAAGTTGGAGCATTGGACACGCCGCATAGGACACGTCTGCGTATCGTGGCGACCTCGATCTTCAAATATCAAGATAGAATCGCAATTTTCACACTTGATAGTGCGTTTCATGCAATGATGTTGCTCATGCGTCGGTAACATATCTTTAGGAGCCACGAAGCTGCAGTTATCATTGTGACACGTAGTGAGCTTGGTACGTTCAGCGTGGAGTTCGACGTATTTCCTGTGGTCTTCTGCGTCTTTGAGCGCAATTTGAACCTGCCAAAGAACATGAACTGCCGGGGGTAGCTCCTCCTCTTGGTCAGAGCTATACACGTCCGGTAACTCTGTATACATCGCCTCTGTCTGTTCTACCGCATCTTGTGCCAGTTTGAGAGCGTCTTTGCCAGTTCGATCCTGCCATTTCATCGTCTTCAAGAACGTTTTGTGCCATTCGATCTCTTTTGGTTTGAGTTCCTTCGTCTTGTGCTCCGAGATACGAGCTTTGATCTTGGATTGATGCAGCATAGTTGGGGTAGCTTCAGTGGAGAATGACTCGATTGGTTTCACTGGAAAACACTCGTCACGAGTAGCGATGAGTAAATGATGCACAATCTTGGCTTGCGAGTTGCTGATCGCATGCATCAGCGCAGTTTTACCATCTCGTGTCTTCTGGTTCACGTCCACTCCAACGCGAAGCAAGTGCAGAACTACAGCTTCGTGTCCACAGTAGGATGCCCATGTCATAGCCGTATGTCGAAGTCTCGTTTCGTAACGATAATCGGCACCCATCGATACCAATTCCTGAACGCCAAAAGCGTAGCCGAAAGCTGCACATTTCGTCAATGGCGTCCACCCTTCTCGTGTTTCAATGTTGACGAAGAATTGTGATCGGAACGGTAAAGCTCTTGGGGTGTTGTCCATCGCCTTGAGATCGTTAAACGCTCTAGTAAATTCGGATACTGATATCGTCGTGGCTTTCAGGAACTCGACCAGTCCGTTTTCATCGAAAAACTGAAGCGCAATCAAGCTTTCGATCCGTTGGATACATTCTTCGTGGTAGCTCAAAAGCGCTTGGCATTGGGCCACTCGATCCTGGCGGTTCGCGAGACTTTGATGCTTGAGCGATTTCTCGCGCTGTCGATTCTCCAACCACTCGAGCGCTTGCGTGTTCCCCGTGAGTTTCGCCCAGTCAAACGCAGTTCTTCCGGATTGATCAGTTAGGATCAACTTTGGATTGTAGTCGAGGACACTCGCGACGATATCATTGTCATAAAGTCCAGTATTGGTAACACTAGGGTATTGCAGTTCTTCGACGTTGTTGTTAGATAACATCGAGATAGCTGACACTTGTTTAGATGCACATCTGTGTTGCGGCACGGCCACAGCTATGGCTTTCATGAGAGGGGTGTAACCTTGTCGGTTGGGAGTATCGATGGAAACCCCACTGTATCATCAAACGCCGTCATTATCCATCCTATCCAGCATGCAACATACCGACACAACGCGTACCTTGTCATCAGCATCGCGAGCGCATCCAGATTCTTCGCAGATACAGCGGCAAGTAGCGCTGTTTCTCCAGTTCTAGTCTCGTAGTTGGCAGGAATTTCGTCATTCGTGATCATCCATAGAGCCTGTCGAAAGTCACGTCTCCTCAAGGCCTCTTCGAATAGATAACCAAGCTTGGGGTTCACCACTCGAGGATGATCGCCTGAGTCAGTATTTTTCTTTGCCTTCTTCTTCCGGATCTGAACTTTCGCCAGTGGCTTGTAAGGGCTACTACCACTAATGTTCTGATCGATGGCAATGTATTTCTTGGCTTTTCCCCGTTGCTTCTTTGAAAGAGGAGTTAGCAATGGAGCTAAGCTCGACATAATAGAGTCTTAGGCTTCTTCACCTCCGTGATTACGGTGTGAGCATTTCTTGATTCCGTTCGAGGCTCCAGTATTTTTAGGTATTGGACAGCATTAGAATGGCAAACTGCCGTCAACCTGGCACATTGGCATTGCCAACTCATGCTGCGGAGATTGATCTGAGCTGTCCGAGTTATTCTCTGCCTTTCAAGGGTTTTCATCCGATATGAGGCGTCGTTCTGGTCTTTCACCTGCGCCCATCGAGTTTCTCCCCCGACGATTTTATCTTGTGGTGATTCGAGAGCGAACGACCTGCTCCATCCATCGCATAAAGGACACAAGTGACGCAGTATCAAGCTCCGAGCAGCATCTTTTTCCGAGAACACCAGGCATTCGCTTTGTCTCACTTCGAGAGCAGCTTTTTCCTAGCTCTCCAAGTAGCGAATATGCACTCGGAATCCCACAGACACATCGCTTTAATTCGTTTCTCACCAATATTTTGAATGCAACAGTGAAGGACAACATAGCAGCAGGGGATGGACACAAAAGTGCTCATTATTTTTTCTTACGAAGGCGACATCTTCGAGAAGAAATCCAAGTTGCTCACCTCATTTGCAGATGGCGGCTTTTGTATCTTCGAATGTCGCCACACGAAGCGTTGGCCCCTTTTAAGCATCTCTCGTATCTTTTTTCGTCGTTCTTGTCATCGTCCGAGCTCTTTGATCCACCAAGTCTGTTGGTATCACTTTCAGGAATTTCAAAAGGGTTGGAAAAAGAGTTCTTGGGCTCAGCGGAAGATTGGGGTAGAGGACAGAGTGAGGACGATCCGAATCTTCGAACGGTATCGCGTCGCTTTGTCGTATACAACACATCACCTGGTAAAGAATCGGGAATGGGAAAAGAAGACGAATATGCCGAGCTTGAGAAAACCATTTCAGCTTTAAAGCGTCGAAAAGTTTCCCTCGTGGTTACGTTAGGAATAACACACAGCGATGTCACTACTTTCACGGTACACGGATTGGAAACACTGGATATTTCATCTATGGCCTCTTCTTCACCGACACTATCCCACGGTGGTACACCGACGCATTCAGTTCAAGTATTGGTGGATAGATTCTTGGAAGCTTGCGAAGGTACAGAAGGTTTGATCGCCGTCAATGCCTCAAGTAGTTTAGGTTGCGTATCAGCAGCTACTTGCATCGGCTGCTATCTCATGAAGCACTCGGCTTTCACTTCTGAAGAAGCAGTCGGCTGGCTTCAATTCGGTCTTCCCGGCAAATTCCCACTTGCATGGCAATTATTTCTTGGCAGAATGCAGTCTCAAATGTGGCTCGAAGGAGAGCGCTCTCGACGAGGTAAAGAAGGCGACCTCCTTGATGGTATCAGTGATTCAACACACATAAACATCGGCAAAATCAGTCTCGGTCGCTTATCGCTACTAGGCACACGTGATCGAGACAAACATCGCTCCGACTCCTTCACCGCCAGTATCCCTGTGGCCACATGTCTCTCCAGTCGAAGCCAGGAATTGCAGCAGTCCCCGACAGCAGCCACAGCCACCGCTCAGCTCAAACGTCGGCCACTGACACAAGGTAGCGTTGGTAGTCGACGGTATCATCGCAGTACTGACGGCACAAGTTTACGAGCGGACTTCGCGCTTATGCACAAGTTCCTCCACCAAACACCATCCAGCACCCATTCGGAAAGCTCTTCACCTTCAAGTTTGCACCCCGTTCCATCCCGTCCTAAAGCTTCTGCTCGTTCATCCGACGGAACACCGGCAAACTGTACCGAAGCACTTGCATGACGCAATATTTTTTTAAAATAAATAATTGACAAAAAAGAGTATTTAGTCTTGTTTTGTTTCACTTTCTCAACTTTTCAAAGTGGGTAAGTGGCGACTCGGCGTATTTTTTGATTGTCTCTTTGGCAATTGCCATCACCTTCTCTTGCACCTGCTCAATAGTGCCTGTGGCGTCCACCACGTGCCACTTTGGTGTTGCGCGTTCCATGATATCGTAAAAATTGCGGTAAACTTTTTCTTGAAAAGCCGTGGTTTCGTAGCGTTCTTGGCCAAAATCGGCGCGAGTTGATGCTTGAGTCACTGGGACGTCCAAGAAGATGATGGCGTCGGGCTTAGGCAGTCCAATTTCGGGCGCCCAGCACCAGTCAAGTGACATGCCGCTCTTAGCGGCGGAAAAGGCCACGCCACTGAACGAATAACGGTCCATGATAATATGCTGACCGCTGGCTAGGATGGACTCAATCTTACTTGCTGCCTCCCAGCGGTTAGCCGAGAAGAGCAGGTGAATGACGTGGTCGTCCATGGCTTCGGAGCTCGTAAGATATGAGTGGATACTCTTGCCGATGGCTGTGCTTCGGTCAGGAAAATGGAGCAGAGCGGAGGGTTGAGATGAGGAAGAAGCGTTCAAGGCATCATGGAGCAGCTTGGTCTGTGTCGTCTTGCCACAACGGTCCACGCCCTCAAAGAGCAGGAAGATGCCTCGACGAGTCATGATTGAAAACTAAAAAAGTGACGATGAAAAATTGCGGGAAATTATATTTTGAGTATAAACAGACAGATGGACTCATTTCTGCAGCAACTTTCTCATTTTTGTGAAAGATTCTTTTTTCAATTTAGGACTCACTACATAAACATCATCTGCCCCTGACCATGGCGTTGTAAGGGATGTTTCACTTTATCATCGGTATCGAAAATAGCAAAGTGATATCGTCTATTTGTGTTGATGGCAACGATAGTTCTTCCGCATGAGATGCCTCGTGACTGTGGCTAGTTGGTGGCTTCGCTCCGCACACGTGGCCACGACGCAACCTATGGAGAAGCTATTTTGCTTCGTTGGCCGAGTTTTACTCTCTCGGTGCGACTGTTCTGCAGGTGCGCAGTTTCGAGCACAAGGCATTCTCCATACGAGGTTTCAATTGAGATATTTCTGCCTAAGAAACGGACCTCCTCCATCGCGTATTTGGGGATGAGATGGTTCTGCCAAATAAATGTGAATAAAATAAAAGCGACAGGCCCATCAACTCCTTGGGTCATGAAGTAGGAGACCGAGGCTCTAAGCATCGAGCTCGATTAGACATTTCCGAATTCGTCTTCCACCGCCAATTCAGCAACAATGACCAAGCTAAACATCATTTTCGGCTTCGCTGCTGCTGCTGCACTGGCACTCACATCTCTTGATAGCGTCAATGCTGCCAGTCTTCGTACTGTTGACACCAACGAGCGTCTCTTGTCCAGCTTCGACGCTAGTACCAGTGACAGCACCGAAGGCGAGCGCTTCCTTTTCGAGATGGAAGGTAGCGAAAGCACGGATGCAGATTCAAGCGAGAGCTTTGACGGCGAACGTTTTCTCGTGGACGTTGAAGGTAGCGCAAGTGCTGAAGTGGACTCGAGCGACAGTACCGACGGTGATCGATTTCTAGTTGAAATGGAGGGCAGTGACAGTGCAGCAGCCGACTCCAGTGAAAGCTTCGATGGTGACCGATTCCTGGTTGAGGAAGAAGGCAGTGAAAGCGCAGGGAACGACGATGGCAGTGACAGTCTAGCAGGTGAACGCTTTCTTGTCGAAATGAAAGGCAGCGAGAGTGCACTGGACGATTCCAGCGAGAGCACAGATGGCGAACGTTTCCTTCAGGATATTGAAGGAAGCGAGAGTGCCGACGATGAAGGCAGCGCCAGCGTGGATGGCAACCGTTTCTTAAGTGAGGTCGAGGGTAGCGAAAGTGCTGAGGTCGATGGTAGCGAGAGTGCAGACGGCGAGCGTTTCTTGCAGGTGGTTGACGACAGTGAAAGTGCTGAAGTTGACGGCAGTACAAGTGCTGAAGCTGACGGCAGTGAGGCCGTCCCTTTCCTTCAGCGCTTCCTGACAGAGATCGACGTTGAGGGCAGTGAAAGTGATGAAGGTAGCGAGAGTGCTGCAGATGAACGCTTCTTGGAGGAAGTTGAAGGCGATGAGAGCACAGAAGATAGTGGAAGCGCATAAAATGGTGGTTTCTTGGCCTGCTAGCTTCACTTTAATGAACACCTTACGATGCTTACACTAATATCAAACTGCTTGTTGCAATGATGATGATGAATGTGGCCCTCTATTCAGTTCATTATTTTAAAGAAGCCTTAAATGCATGTAGACACCCAAGAACGCCGGGTGCGTTCCTACGGGTATATGCAAGACACGTTTGGGTCTGTGGCTCAGTTTGTTTGACAACATGTCGAATAGAATCAGGAACTTATAGTCGTGTCAAATACTCGGTTGGATTGTCGGTTTGCCAGAAATTTAGCTCCGTGAAGTCGTTTGCTGTTTGTTGCAATTATAAACGTCAACCAGCGACTTTACCCAAAATAGGATTGCAAATTGCTCCCATTTTTTGCTGTGCTAAAATTAACGTTAACAGCTCGTTTTTTCTGGATACAACTTGCGTAGAGTAACGGCCCGCAGCTATCCATGACGACAGGACTGCCGTCGCTACCTCTCCAGGTGTTTACTAATGTTTTCAAGCTTGTCATCATCGGGTTCACGCAAGACTTCGGACCAGATGATCCCAAACAACGTCCGGAGTCCCTAAAAATCCATTTCGTTGGTGTCCAAAAGCACGCACCAGTTAGTGGAGGACATTATCAAGACCTTTCATGACAGAATGGGCTTTATAGGGTTAGAAGACACTGAAATCTTAGACGATGAGGCTGTGGAAGAGAACATCGATGAAGTCAAGGACTACGGGGCTCGTTTGAAGGACTTTCGATTGCGCCTGGGCGACTACGACCCAAGGGATTTATCTCCGAGTCCTTGGTTAGGAGAGCTGAATGAGCTCAATATTGACTGGGACAAATTGTTCGTATACATGCCGGGCCTCAAGAGGCTGGGTCTGACCAAAGTGCCCTTGCTAAGTTGCCACATACCGCGTACCCTAAAGGCGGTAGCTGAGCAATGTCCACATCTGGAATTCCTCATCTTACCACGTAAAAGTGACTTCGAATCCACTCTATTCGGGCCCCGACATTGACAGAGTCATGGATGCCCTGATAATAGCCCCAGAAAAGTGGCATAGTAGAGGACGGACCGGCGGACTACGTCAACTTACCGTGCCAGCACGCAATGAAGTGGACGTCTACCGCGCCAGTAGATAGTTTATCGAGGCAGTGACTCGGTTTTGCCCGAAAATTTAATACCTCGACGGGTATGAGAGTTTGACGAGATGTGGTCAATCTCGCTCGATACTTAGACTACTTTTAATGCCACTGTGGCAGCCACATGCACGAACCTCCGCACGTTTAGCTGGACCGTTGTGCCCTTCGCTACAGTTTTCTTCCGAACATGAAAAGCCCAACCTCAAGACACTGAATCTGTCAGCGAATACGAACTGGAACTTCAAAAACTAGTACAGCGATTTCGTTGAGCCACCTGACGAATGGAACGAGGTCCCGGGCTTTGGCGAGAGATCTCAAGACGCCTATGCAGTCTTCAATGCATTTTCTACCTTAAAAGATTTGAGCATCGATATCAATCATTACGTTCATGATGAAACCAGTGACCGGTACGTTAATGTAAACGTGTACGGAGACGATCTCTGGGATGCAGTGGCTACACACTGTCCATGCATCAAGGCAATTACGATGTCAGACTGCTCTGAGCATTAGACCTGTCCATACACTGACGGATCGGACACTGGTGTCACTCGCTAGTCTGAAGAACCTCTCACAATGCCACTTAGCTCCGTTTCGAGTGACTGGAAGAGGCATGTTAGACTACATTCAGCGTGTTTCCAGACGGGAAATCTTGGTCGGAAAAGAACGCATGATTGAGATCTCCATTGGGGGCTATCGTGATCGACAACGTGCGAGCTTCTACTCAGTTATTGTGGATTTACTGCAGCAATTGGTGACGATCAGTGATAAAGAATTAGGAGCCGCATCCAGACAACACTGCACGTTATCAACCCTGGAAAGTGCACGCGAAATGGTGTGAGGCGCAACGAGCTGGCTCCTTTGTTGGAGCAAGTCAAACAGAAACACCCGTCGTTGGCGCTGGCAATGCGTATAACTGGGCGACACGGGAACATGTTCGACCGCATCGCGACACTCGCCTTGGACTGGCGTCCTCGGTATCGAGGTCAGCCCCTCTTCTACGACATGAACGGGAGTGAAGATGCCGCGTTTGAAATGGGTAGCGACGTCAGCATTTACAGTTTGAGCGGCAGTGAATATTACAGCATGAGCGACGAGGAAGGCGCAGCGATGGATGAGGATTAAACCAGCATCAAAACGTAGGCAAGCAACTACAATACATTTCAGTATTTTCACTTGATCTCTCTGCCTTTATCCACCTGCTGCGTTGAGTTGTTCTTGTCGAGCAAACCGATCAAGCTGTTCGATTGCAGCATCCAACCCGAGACGCTCGGAAGGCTTAAAAGCACAGAGAGAACGCACGAACTCCCACTGCTCATCGCTCTTGAATGCCTCCGGTCGGGACAAGAAAGTGCCATGCGTCAAATGATAAATCACTGCCACATTCGGCAGATCGCTTCTCCACGGAACGCCTCCACTTCTCGCTTCTACGACACACATCCCAAAGGAATAGATATCCGACGCAAACGTTGGAGCACAGCCCTCGTGAGTCAACAGCTCGGGCGCCTTCCAGCGCACAGCTCCACTCGTGGTGGTTGGCCTCGACTCCAGCGACACAAAGCTCATCCCGAAATCTGTCAGCTTGGCCGTTAAGTCTTCGCTCACTAGAATTTGATTACATTTGAGATCCCCGTGCACAATGTTGTTCTGGTGTAGGGATTGCAAGCCCAAGGCTGCGTCATGCAGCAAGCGCCACGTTATAGCGCTATCGGATCCTTTGATGCGGACCAAAAAGTCGACCAAATTGCCGTTTGTGACTTCTTCACACACAAAAAGACATGGCTGTGTCAAGTGGCAAGCGCCGTAGAACTTGACAATATTCGGGTGTTGAGCCCGTAGCCAGACCCTCGCTTCTCGCGAGAAATCCCGATCCTCCTTCGTTGAGGTTACATTGACGCACTTGATCACCACTTTTGTCCCTCGCCAGGTCCCTCGATATATTTTTCCAAACGACCCACGTGCAAAATGGTCCTTCTCTCGTTGAACCTCGTGGTCAGCAATAAACCACCCAGGGACAACAGGCACAGAAGCTGCGGAAAGCCTGACGACAGTCTCGGCCACAGATCTTAGCAAGGCTCTCGATTCTATACTATAGGTGTTGTAGGTATCCTGGCTGGCTCTAGCTTCAGAATTGAGCAGAAGAAGAGCATTTTCCTCGTCCGAAATTGTATCTAGGATCCTTTCGGGGTTGGTTTTCCACAGCAGCAGTAAGCGGGCGTCCACTTCTTGTCTTTGATGCTCCCACAATTCAATCCAGCTGTCTTTTTGTTGCTTGTCTGCCAGCTTCGTTTCTATTGCGTCAATCGCCACGTGATAATCCCTCAGCAACCCAACAATCGTTCGAGCGCTCAAGAGCCGCTCAAATGCAGTTCCAAGCCTATATTTCATCAAGAACGTATGAAAACTTGCTCTGATCCGGGCAAACTCTGGCCGATAAGCGCAATTTTCCCTTTTCGTGACGGGTTCATGTATCATTTTCAATCGAGCTAGCACACTCTTGCACATATCGCTGGTTTCCTCCATTTGTTCACACATTTCTAAGAGATTAATAAGCGGAGTCACGGCATGGTCACTAGTTATTAACTGCATAGCGGAGAGCTGCAGTGTGTTTGAATCTTGATCGTATAACGCCACCGGATTAGCAACTTCAGGCGATACACCAGCTTTTCTGCACACGTTTCCATATTTTAGCGACGGAATCGAGTCACTCGTGGCGTAACTTTGACTGGCTTCACTGCTCATTTGACATTCCTCCTTGTTCGCCACAGTATTGCTCAACAGATGATGTTTCCGTGACGACGCCTCATGTTCCTTAACAGTCTCATTCGCACACTGGACGCTAAGGGCTTGAATCCAAGCGACCAGGTCTTGCTCACTTTCGGAAGCGTAAATGTAGGTACGCTCAGTGGTAGTAGAAGGAACCACCTTGAAATAGTGCAAAGTCTTGTTCCGCGCGTTCACTTCACTGGCTCCACATATCTCCACTGTAGCTCCCCCCAATTTGCTGAAGTCTAGAGGCGCAGCGTCCATCTGGTCGCGGTAATTCAATATCTTGCCGTCCCGTGCTACAACCCATCGTTTTTTCCAAGTTTTGAAGAACCCACCTTGTGTATATAGCCAGCCTTGGATAGCAACGGCCCTCGCTGTCCTGCCAGCTTAATTTGATTGCTCGGAATATCACGATCGCGTTGTGTTAGCATCAATGAAGACGACGATGCGCAGGACAGATTATCAGTCGAGATACACATCTCCAAATTAATTTCCACATGAAAACTATCCGGGAACCGTTCGTCATTCGAGGCCTCATCCAGCTCTGCCTTCGGGAGCTGCTCTATTATAAGATACAGCGGATTAGTCTTGTCTATCAAGAGTCTTTTTGTTCTCAACTTACGTCCATGCTGATGAAGGCGGTGTTGATAGTGAAGTGGAGCATCGGCACCATTTGCTTTCCTTGGTTTTTGGCATGCAAACACCTCATCAATACATCGCCCTGTACCTCGGTATTCACCTGCAACACAACCTCGTCATTCTTTAATATGATACCACGAATTTCCCTCCGCTACGCACCTCGTAGATGATTGCTCCGTTAGGGTCTGCCACAAACGTTTCGAACTGGGTTCTTTGCCAAGAGCTATTATACAGTAGCCCTGGCTAATGGTGTTGCGATGGGGCCGGTAATATCTGCAAGAAAGGGGTACATCCTCCTTTAGGAGGGGCATCAAAGTCTGGAATGCCTTGTAACACGACATTTTTCAGGAACATCTTGCTAGCTGGCCGTAATGGTGGGATCTGCGCAGGTGAGCGTTCGAGCCGTCTCAGCAGCATAATGAAGTAATAAATGTACAGCGCCTGGCTAGGGAATCGCACTCCTCGGCCTCTAATATTCCAAAAGTCGCGAATACTTAAGTTCGCTGTCTGCCTCACATCTCGCTCGCTGTGCAGCTTGTAGATGTCCCCGTAGTGTCCCGTGAACAGTAAGTAGCATGTGCACACAAGGCCAGTACAGCCTTGGCCGTCTAGACAATGCACAACTATGACGTTGCTTGGGTTCTTGGACGCCCACTCCATCATATCGTTTACGATGTCAATTAGGAGCTGCAACGGGGGCGGATGGTCAGCTGAGAAGCCGCACTCACTCACTCGACATTTGACCTTGGAGCAGTCGTACCGCCGCTCGCTGAGGTTGTAGACACGGTAGACGTCGGGATGTCGTGAATTGAGGAAAGCGGCAACGTCATTGATGTCGTTGCGATAGGTTTTCTCAACCCCCGAGGCTGGGTAGCCCATTGTAATGAGGCGAGGCATGATGTATGTCAAGTCTAGATTGAAACCATCTTGCACGAAGCGCACGGTTTCGCCCGATACGGCGGCCCGCAGCACATTCATCGTTCCAATTGGGTGTCGAATGAGAGAAGGGTATCTTAGCAATTGTTATTGTAAATAATGATATTGACGAGCATTTATTTTGATTAGAAGAAATTCGTAAGGTTGTACCGGTAAAGGCGCATTGCGCACTCTTACTGAACAGTAGATTTTTCTACCTCTTTTGAAAGCTGTGACGGGCCCATCGTCACACATCGCCATCGCATCCAATGCGATGGCCAATCAGCTTGTAGAACACATCTACTGGTTGGCGTGGTCCGAGACCACGCCGTTAACTTTCAATACATTTCAGAGTCTAATTTGCCTGCTTTCTCACGCACAGTGTACGTAAGGTAACGGGTTGCTGAAAGCTCGTTACACCTGGTAGCACTTGGTCATCCGTCCAACGCTCACGATGAACGACATGCCGATGCCCGACGCGCCCAAGTTGCCCAACACGTCGCTGGAGCACGACAGCTTCCCCCACCTCTCTTCGATCGAATGGGAGGCGTTGCACCGCCTCGCTGCTGCGTCCGGCGAGGCTGTCATCCACACGTTGCTCACTGCTGGAACCGTAGCTCAACATCGCCTTGCCGCCCAAGAATTCATGGCGCGTGAACTCGCTGACCTCCGTCAGCGCGTGTCGACTCCCACGCTGTCCAAGAACAGGACTGACATCGTCAAGCTCGATGTCTCCTCTTATAGTGGTGAAGGCGACGGTCGCCTCCACTTGAACAGATGGTTCTGCGAAGTGGACATCGCAGTTGAAGCCCGGCAGCTTTCCACCGAGCTCGCGCGGACTCGCTTCCTTCTTTCCAAACTGACGGGGAAGGCAAAGGAGTGGGCCCTCGGCAAGCTTGTTGTCAACCCCTCATGCTTTCCCACGATGGCTGCAATGAAATCTGACCTGCGACTCGCGTTCGAGCCACCCCAAGACAAGAGAGTCCAGCGTTCCGCCTTCCTGTCGTTGCAGCAAGGCAAGATGTCCATGCTCGAATATATCCAGCGGGCACGTCACCTCATCTCGTGCATCACGACACATCCGGTTGACATGGCGACCCAAGTCCATGTCTTCGTGTCCGGCATGAACACCGGCTACCAACGCTTCTACTTAACGCGGAAGTCCCCATCTACGCTGGAAGAAGCTTTCGCGGTGGCCCTACGCGAAGATTACAGCGTCGCGGCATCTCAAGCTTTCGATTTCAGTCGGGCTCCGGCCTCCGAACCAGAACCAGAGCCGATGGAGATTGATGCCATCCGCCACTTCGATCGTTCTCGGTCGACGACACGTCCACCGCGCTCCCCGACGCGCAGCCAACGTCCGATGAAATGCTTCCGCTGTCGCAAGCCCGGACATCGCGCGGCGGTGTGCCGCGCGCGGCACCTGTCCTGGCACACGTCACGGTGGAGTCCGAGGTCGCCGTTCCAAAATAACGGCGACAACCAGTAGGTGCGGGGCGCCCTACTGGGAATGGAAGGAGAGATGCATCTCTGGTGGCAGAGCCTCCTCCTAGCCCTCCAGTGCTTCACGCACGACTTTTCGCCACCTCTTCCGGCAGCGACTCGAGACTGATTATTCTTAGTCTTCACGTTGACGGCGCCCAGCGCCCGATCCGTGCGTTGCTGGACTCCGGCGCGACGAACAACTTCGTTCGCGCCGACAGCTTATCGGTGTTGCCGCCAACCACGCGCATCAGCGAAGGTCCAGGCCACATGGTCGTCAAATACGCTGACGGCAAGCCGCGTCGGATGCCCCGGCGCTCGGTCGCCTTTGCGTATGCATTCGACGGGTTCTCCAGCTCGGACAACTTCCTGGTGATCGAGTTGAGCGGTTCATTCGACTGCGTCTTCGGCATTCCGTGGCTAGTGCGTCACCAGCCTCACATCGACTGGTTGATCCGAACTGTTCGGCACGCGATATCGATGTCAACGCAGTACTGGCGTACCCGAGCGGTACGCCCAACCTCTGGCCACACGTTGCTGTCATGGACCCCGACTCCATGACCACCCCTGCACTTGAAGAGAGCGATGGCCCTTCATACGCAGCCAGTGCTCCAGCAACTTGTGCCGCTCCTGAGTCGGAGCCTCAGGGCGTTTCCGATGTGGTCGAGCTGAGTATCCCACATCTTGGTGAGCAGTGGCTCCCACCTCGTGAAGCGGTTGAGCGTGAGCTCCTGCCCGCGGTTGACCAGGGGTTCCCGCGCGCAGTCGAGCTGGAGCTCCCTGTACCTGTGAATATGGTCGAGCCTGAGCTCCCGCGCATGGTTGCGCGGGAGCTCCCTGATGTTGTGGGTGCAATCGTTCTACATGATTCGTGCCCCGGCGCCGATGACATACCCCGGCGCCCAACCGATCTCGCCATGATCGAGCGTGGGCTCTCATCGCCAGATGTACTCCGTCCTGTTCGTCGTCGTAGTC